AGTGAAATGCTGTTATCAATGTTGTTGTCTTTACTGTATAAATAAAAAGCAGCAGAATTGTACTTAGCCTGTCTCAAATGAGGGGGTCATCCTCAGATGAAAGGACCTCGTTAAGCCAGGGGCTCAAATGCCAGACCCCTGTGAAAGTAAGAGGGGCGGGGACAGGTGTCCCAGCCAGGAGGTGTGGACTCTCCCTAAGGGTTCCCGGCCTGGTTTAGCCTGTTACTCCCCACTGTTCAAAGAAAGAGCTAAATAGGCTTCATTAGGAACCTTTTTGTTATGTTAAGTACTCACTGAGAGCTGAAATCACTTGTGGTGTGGCAGTGTTTCTGCCCAGCCTGCTGAGAGCTAAAAATCACTAAGAGACTGACCTGCAGAGATCACAGACAAGACACAGGTGGCAGCAGGTGACTGACAGGTGGCCAGCGTGTGCAACTGGCGAAAGTGGCAAATAGTCAGCTGGTTGGAGGCAGCAAGGAACAGCGGCCGGCAGGGTGGCCAGGCAGTGAGGAGCAGCGGCCAGCAAGGCGGCCACCCAAAACAAGTGCTCAGATGGTGGAGTGAGCCAGGTGTCTTCTTCCCCAGGTGGAAGGTGAACTCCCACAGATACACTTCTGAAACCTGGGTCCTCACTAACCAAGGACAACCACTGAGAGTGGGGCATGGTGAGGAAGCAGAGGGGGGCACAGTAAAGGAACTTTTGGTTGTAGAACTCAAGAACATGAGGCAGAAGACTCCGCCCCACGCACTCTGTGGTGGGTGTCCTGCTCACAGTTTTATATTTATGAATCCTGCTTGCGGCATTTTCCCTAATTAATGTCAGGTGATTTCTCTCCTTTCATTAAAAGTTTCTTTTCTACACACAGACTCTGTGCTTACGAGTGGGGAAGTAGTGCCTCCCAGAGGTGCCCAAGGATGGTGTGTAATTTTACTGGGTGGGGGCTCAAGCTAGTTCTGTGTTGTATTGTTGAAAAGGAACCCCTAGATATTGAACCTGGCCCTGATTGCTACCGGCTCCACCTGGCAGAAGGGTTACATTATTTTGCAGAGAAAACCACTCCAATTTGGACTGAGCTGTCTACTGCCATAAAACAGAGCAGTGTCTCAGTGGGAAAATCAATGAGAGTGTTCTGCTTGATTTTCCATCAGTACTGTCCACTAAGATTATGCAGGTGCTGTAGCAGCTTCAACCTCCAACCTGTGAGATGGATCCTTGTCCTTCCTGGCTGCTGAAGGTCACCAATAGAAGTATTGGGTCCAGTAAGTATTTTCCACATGGGGGAAGGAGGACAGAGTGTTAGTAGTTCTCAGCTATCGTGAGTCCAGTGAGTAGAAAAACCAAACAGCTCTTCAAACTGCCAGTCTGGCTAAGTATAGTCTCATTTTTGGGGAAAGTCATTGTAAAGGCAGTGGCAAGACAACTCTGGCAGTTTTAGTCCTCAAATTTCCTTGACCCCAGCCAATCAGGTTATAGGCTAGGGTATGGAATAGAAAATTATTATTATTGTTTGTATTGTGATTTTGCCTTGAGGCCCTCATCAGGATTATAGCCTATTCTGCCAGGTGCGGTACAAATATCTAATAAAAAGGCAGTCCCTGCTCCATTAGGATTAGCTGTTCTAGCAGTGGGCAAAGAAAGTGACATTCCTGATTCCTTTAGATCTGTCACCAGCCTTTGGTACAGTTCATCATGAAGTTTTGTCAACCCACCTTCAGTCCCTAAAAGGGGTCAGTGGAGCTGCTGGAATGGGTCCATTCTGATCTTTCTGAAGGAACCTAAAGAATATTTGTGGGCAATTTTTTTCTCTGCCCCATGGGCTGATATGTATACAATTTGCAGGTGACACCCAGGTCTATCATGTCTAACCCAACTAGAGGGAAAAACAAAAAAACAAAAAAACGAACAAATAGCATAGTGTCTATATTGGCCTTGGGGCAGGGAAGAGGAACGGCAACTTAATTTGGATAATACCATGATAATATTGGTAGGTTGAGGTAAGCATCTGGTGGAATTGGGACAGATTATATCGGTGCCCCACATGGAGGGAGTTCAGCCACCATTTATAATAAATGTGCACGGCCTACAAATTTTATTAGATCCTGGATACCCCATTGTCACCGTGGCCAAGGGCACTTTCCTTCACCTGTGTAAGGTGAGATGGGTGTGATCGTCTCTCCAATGTGGACCTCACCACAGTTATCTGAACCTTTGTCACCTCATGACTAGTCTGCTGTAATGCATTCTGCATGGGATGCTAAGTTGAGATCACCCAGAAACTGATAAAAGAACAGGAGTACTTGTGGCACCTTAGAGACTAACAAATTTATTAGAGCACAAGCTTTCATGAGCTACAGCTCACTTCATCGGATGCAATTTGTTAGTTTCTGAAGTGCGACAAGTACTCCTGTTTTTTTTGCGGATACAGACTAACACGGCTGCCGCTCTGAAACCAGAAACTGATGTTACAGCCCAATTATTAAGCAGAGTTTCATGCATGGAACACATTAGACCAGAGCCTTGAGATCTGCACTGGATTCCTACAGGTTTGGAGATGGAACTCAAGGTGTTAGTGCTAATCCATGAAGTCTTAATTGGTTAGGGTCCCGGTTGCCTGAAAGACTGCTTCTCTCTCCTTCACTCGATATGTGCCTATGTTTTCTTAGGTAATTGGCATTCGCAGTTGAAGACAAATACCTGCAAAAGTGGTCTCTCTATTGAATTTAATAAATTTCCCTTTATACCAGCAAAAGCTTCCCAAAAGAGCTTTGTCAACATCTGCTTATGCATAGAATACTTAAGGTTTAATATAGCATCCCAAAGGAGATCTCTGGTGAATAATAGTATGCTATGGATATTAACTCCCAGGTCTGGGAAATCCTGATTTTGCAGATCTGGCAACAAGCAGACACAAAGCAATTAAAACCCTGTTAAGGAGTGCTATTTCCCTTCCTGATTTCCAAAACTGCTTTTATCTAAATGATCTCTCCTGGTTTTCCAGCCACCAGGGACAAAATAATGGCCCAGATCATCCCCTTGTGCTGAAAACCTGCCAGAAGGGGTGGTGGAGAGCAAATCTGCACAAGGATTCCCTCTCAGAGATCTCTCCAAATCATACCATTGAAGGAGTGGTGTTTGCCTTGACCTCAAACCTGGCAGAGCCATGCAGAGGTCCTGTATGGCTGGATTGGCTCTGGAACCTCTACCTCCCTGCTCTGGAACACCTATGGAGGAGGCAGCCCTGTGGAAAACGTAAGATGTCCTGGTGCCATAATATCTTCTGAGGTTTCTCAGCAGGGAGGGAGGGAGTAAAGGTGTGCATCCACTTATCCTTACAACTGGTCCACCTGCTTCTTCTCCTGGCCCACCCAGTCTCCACCATGTCCCCATGATCCCACAGAGGAGACTCTGCTAAGAGAAGATGCCAAAGACTTGCCTTTCACATGTCAGGGTTGGAGTGGGGGGATTCATGTGCACACTCTAGGAGTGAAAAGAAAAGGAGTACTTGTGGCACCTTAGAGACTAACCAATTTATTTGAGCATGAGCTTTCGTGAGCTACAGCTCACTTCATCAGATGTTTACCGTGGAAACTGCAGCAGACTTTATATACACACAGAGAATATGAAACAATACCTCCTCCCACCCCACTGTCCTGCTGGTAATAGCTTATCTAAAGTGATCAACAGGTGGGCCATTTCCAGCACAAATCCAGGTTTTCTCACCTGGATTTGTGCTGGAAATGGCCCACCTGTTGATCACTTTAGATAAGCTATTACCAGCAGGACAGTGGGGTGGGAGGAGGTATTGTTTCATATTCTCTGTGTGTATATAAAGTCTGCTGCAGTTTCCACGGTAAACATCTGATGAAGTGAGCTGTAGCTCACGAAAGCTCATGCTCAAATAAATTGGTTAGTCTCTAAGGTGCCACAAGTACTCCTTTTCTTTTTGCGAATACAGACTAACACGGCTGTTCCTCTGAAACTCTAGGAGTGATGATCTGGGCCATTATATCTTTCATGACCATAAATTGCCTGACACAATCAGCCATGATTTCAATAGAAGACGTATTAACTTGGTATTTCTCAGGCACCTTAGATTCCCAGAGAGAGGTCTGCCAGGACATAAAATTAAAAACAGCTAGGAATAGAAAGAAATGAGGATGAAAGAGAAGCAATTGTCTATTGGCATGTAGTGGGGAACTCAAGGATTCAGTTAAAAGTGATTATCTCAGTACTCACTGATGTTCACTTTTTAGTTTCTGCATTATTGACTTACTATAAGCAGTAGAAGAGAATTTGATGAATAGCTGGCAACAGAGGCACATGCTTTATTTCCTTGGGTTTTAAGAGTAACATTTCTTGGCAGGCCAACGTTGTTATATTCCAACTTCTGTATGTAATATTTTCTGATGGTGAAATACCCATACACTTCATTAACAGAAGAAACTAGAACTGTCTGCAAATTTGGAAGAATTCTTATTACAGACATCCACACGTACACATTTGGTTTTGATTATACAGTGTGCCAGACAACAGCAAAAACAAAGTGCAGCCCATTATGGCTTTAGTCAACACTTGAGATTTCACATTTCACTTCTCCTGAAAGAAAGTGATCCCTTTGGCCCCTCATCCAGGTCTATTTCCTGTTAGGCATACGTTAAATGCAGATAAAGTCACCATACAGCTGTTGCTTAACTTGTACAACCTACTTAAAAGGATACTATCACCTTGACATCTAGTCAATTTCAAAAAATGAGTTGAAAGTAGTTTCTGGTATTACATGTGCCCCTGAGTCTCCCTGAAATTTTTTGTGGTTTTACAATTTTCCTATTTTCTAAAAATACGTTTTTATCCCATCATTGTTTGAAAAACCTATAACAGAGGAAACTGATTATACTCAAAGTGGTGTCCTATGCACAAAGCAAACAAGTGGAAAAATATGTTTAAGTTAACAGTATCCCTTTAACCTCACTGAAGTGTTTGATATATTTAAGAGACTTACCTTGAAAGAAGCTTTTGACCCGGAGATAGCTGACACTAAGGCGCAAGACAGAAAGTTTGTCCAACTTGGATATTATGTCCGGTGGAAAAGGCAGGAGGCTGGCCAGATGATCTAATTCAGCATTCAGACGGTCCCTATGTCTCTTAGAAGGATTAGACTTTTCATTCCCAACGGCAGGCCTTCTGTGGTGGGAAAAAGTATTGTTAATCATTCATTACACCTGCATACAGGGACATTGATACACTATTTGCTATTCACAGAAACTTGTAGATTATCTTTTAGGTGAATGAATCCATAAAATTATTTAAAATTTAGCCATTCTTCATTTGCCTTCCTCATTATACAAAGCATGTTTACTGTAATAGAGAAGAAAGGTTTTTAGTTCAATACAATTATTCAGTCATCAGTGGGGAATGAAGCAACAAATAAAAATGTAAGACTTCCTTCTCTAATGATCTCAGGTGACAAAGGGATTGTAATATGTACTCCTACAGCATAAAACACAGAATTGATCAATTATCTCTGCAATTACAAAGCACATAAAAAGTAATTTAATTCTCAGTTAAGATTCTGATACCATTCTTGACATTTCCTGATGCACTCATATTCATTTTCCTAACAAAAACTAAAGATTTCTTACACCTTAATGCTTTCCTTATTTGGGATTCAGACCCCAAGTACACACACATACCCTGCACATAAGGGCTGGAAACATGCACAACCCACTTTGCTACAAACATAACTCTTCAAATGTATTACAATTAATATCATTAGAAGATAATGCAACCTCTGCACACCCTGCCTTGCCAGATTGAAAGGCCAGACGGCCTGTATCAAGAAGGGGAATGTGGGGGGAGAGGGGTTGAGGACCAAATTCAGAGGCAAGTCTAAGCAAACCCAAGAAGTCTGGAGTGAGTCCAGTCCCCTCACTGTGTACGTTATGCCAACTTAAATTATCACAGGGCCAAATTTAGAGGTGATGTGTAAGTTACGAATGTAACTTAAACACACATTAAACACACATTGTGCTACATATATCAATTCTGACAATGTGTAAGGCAGCCTCAGTAACTAAACAAAGTGCTGCAATTTTTACACATTTATTTATTTAGAGTAAGTGGACCAAAATCTGCTCTTGGACATATACAGGCAGATTCCATTGAACTTCCACATGCGAGTACAGAATTTCGGCCACTATCTGTTTCTTGTTTGTTTTTAAACCTGAACTATCTCCAGTGACAAGCCATGATCCCACCAATTGTAAAACGCCTTCCCAGGATCGAGTGGTTTGTCAATGGTATGTTTCAGCAGTCTGTCAGACAGAGGGCAGCTGGGGTTTGTAGGGGTAGGGTTTGGCAGTGGGAAGGGGAAAAGCATTGGTGATGCCCACATCTTGTTTATGTGTTGCTGTCCCTGAGCAAGATTGGGTCCTCTTTACCCCTTGCTCTAAAGCATTTTTTTCCTCATTTCTATTCAATGGGTATAACCTGGATTAATAGGTGAAAAGGTGGCCTCCCCAACACTCTCCCAAGAATGGGGCACAGGTGAAGAGGCAAGGTCTTCCACCCAAGACCCTGTCTCAGGAGTGGTGGGATAATGCTGTGCTATCCCCACTTTCCAGGGCATGTCAGAAAATACTTTTTTATCTATGTAGTGCGCAGCAGGGTGGGGGGGAGGGTTAGGAGAGATTCAGAGGGAAACTCTGCTTCATCTAGTGGGTATACCCAGGAACATTTCAAAGCATGGAAGTACTAGAACATCTAGGGATCCTGATGGGACAGAGGATGGTTAAGGAAAGGATCTCTCCATACTGGCAAGCACAGGAGGGCCAGGGAGTAACATGAGGCAGTCATTCTGTTGCCAAGAGCAAGAACACTTCAGGTACCTACAAATGACATTCACTCGCACCTTTGCAATCTGCGTCAGCGGTGGCAGGGATTACAATCAGGCTTATCTCCTCAGAAAATAATTTCTCCTTTCTTTTGACATTTCAATATCCATAGGATAGTCTTATGGACATTTTAATCTGTGTAATATTTAATAAAGCATGCCAGAATGGAAGGACCACCTGCGCCTATGCCAGGGCTCATAGCTGGCCAGAGAACACTGCAGGGCATCTTGCAGCAGTACACAGTGCCTCCCTTGGAGGAATTCTCCTCTAGCCTTTTACAGCCCTCATACACTGCTGCAGAAGCACATAGGCTCTCTAGCAGGGCCCACAATATGCTTTTTACACAAGGCACTTTACAATAATTAAAATGTTCAAACAAAAATTAAAACCCAAATATATAAAAAAACTGCCCTGTCAAAACCACCCCAATGAAAATACTACTTTTCTCGAAAGAATAATTGCACATTGAACAACTGTTAAAAGAAGATTATTTAGATTCCATAGTCAAGAGTTCTTAATTCTGCCCCCTTGTAAATCCATCTTATAGAGTGAAAAAGTCAGAGGTTCTGTGGAAAAAAACAGTATGGGATCAAGTAATTAAAGACTATTATAATGCACACACACAGAGGGGCTGAATTAAGGTTGCATGGGCAGCTGTAAATCTGGCATTCCCTAATTTTTTGAATGGTTGATTTTGTATCCTCAATAATGTTCTTTTCACACAGTTTTTGTGGGGGGGGGCGGGTGTTACAAAGGAAATGGTAAAAATAAATGCAACCTCAACAGGTAATGGAGTCGCTTTCAAGCACCTGCAATAGTACAGCTGTGACTGGAGCTTAGTAAATATCTACATTTAAAGAGGAAGGGACAACATCAAACAAATTAGTTAATTAATGAAGAGGGAGGAACATTCTGTCTCCTGTCCCAGAGTTAGATATTTTTTCAGCAGCTGATGGACACACCGGGCTATATTAACTTATGAGCTAGCTCTGTATCCCAGTCATACTCACCATGATACCAAGGAATGAGAAACAGTGAAAAAATTACAAAATGTTACATCTAATATTCCTATATCACAGACTAAAGACCACAATGTACACACTTAGCATATCTTGATCTCTGAAGTAAGGCAGCAATGGAGTGAGGAAGAAATGAAATGAGTCCCAGTAAAAGGGTGCTTGATTTGACTGGAGCTCAATCGGTAAAAAATGGTCAAGAATAGCACATTGGAAATAGAAATTATGTGATCTTATTCTATAACCTTAGCTGCTCTGTTAGTCTGGAGTGACAAAGAGGTGTGGACTGAGGTAATTGTAGTGCTTAATTTGTGCCAGGGCTTGCCAGGGCTGAGCCCTGGCACCTGTAGGCTTTGCAGTTCATAACCCCAGTGCCTCTGGGCTTGCTACATTAGTTATGAGAGTTAAAAAATTGCTTGAGCCCCAGGCCAGAGGCAGATTAAGGTTTCCTGGGGCCCTGGGCCAGAGAGAGCCCCTCTCCAACCCTTTCACCTGCGGTTGCTGCCCCATTCCACCCCTTCTGCCGGCGGCCCTACCCCTGCTCCACCCCTTTCTGCCCCTTCCTTGGGGCACCCCAGTTCTACACGGGTCCCCCCATTTTTCCCCCCACTGCAGCCCCGCAACGCATTTGCTACTTTCTGCCCACCACACACACGCTGCGGCCATGGCCCTGGACTGCAGCGGGGAGTGAGAGCTCCTCCGTCCCAGGGCCACAGCAGGGGTCCAGGTGCTGGGGCTTCCCCTGCCACCTCCTGTGCTTCCGCGGGGGACCAGGTTGGGGCGCTGGGGCTTCTCCTGCCCCATCCAGTGCTTCTGCCAGAGAGTGGGGTCAGGTGTGGGGGCTTCCCCTGTTGCCCCGCAGCTTCTGCCAGGGATGAGGTAGGGGCACTGGGGGCTTCCGATGCTGCCCCACAGCTTCTGCTGGGGACAAGGTTTGGGGGGGCGGGTGCTGGGGCTTCCCCCACCCAACGGCTTCTGCCAAGGTGGGGTCGGGCGACCTGAGTTCAGGGGGCTTCCCCCATTCTGCAGGTTCAGACAGGAATAGGGACAGGGTAGGGGCCACTGGGGGGGCCTTCCCCCATCCCACGGCTTCTGCTGGTGAGTGGGGTCAGGGGCCGCTGGGGCGGTTTCCCTCACTCTGCCCGCCTGGCATTGCTGCTGCAGAGTGGGATCGGAGTGTGGGGACTTCCCCTGCTCCGCATGTCAGGCGGACGGGGCTCCGGGCTTCCGTTGCCCGGTGGTGGATTTTTTCTGGGAACCTTCAGGTGCCCCCCAGTTGGCCGGGGCCCCTGGGCACGGGTGCCGTCGGCCCAGTGGCTAATCCACCACTGGCCCCAGCACCTCTGCCATTAGAAATTAAGCACTGGGTGATTGTGTTTGGATTGTGATGAGTGTGATAAGTAAAACAAGGTGAGGGAAGAAGCCAAGCGATTTCTAGATGTCCACTGAAAAGGTACAAAATGAAAGCAAGAGAGAGTCCCACATGGCCTCTTGCTGAGAACCTAAAGTAGTGAGGCAGCAAGGGAGTGAATCCAAATGAATGGGAGTTTTATCTAAGTGGGGATTAGGTCCTGAGTGTAATGAACTATATAGCTTAGCTACCCATAAAGAGAAGACAGCAAATAGATAGGTTCTGGATTCTATGGTATAGATTCTGTACCATATTTTGAGCAGCAAGTGGATGACAAAGTGCTGGTTTGAGCAGCAAGTGGATGACAAGGTACACATTTTAAGGGTTGGTCTGCACTAGAACGAGATTGTCTAACTCCTCCATTGCATGGACCACATCACAATTGTGAGATTGCCTCAGAGATCACCAAATCTCCCATTCAGTATCCTACCTCTTTATTCTCTACTTCTTATATAGTAGCAGCTTCTAATAAAGGCAGCTGTGCTGGCACCTCCTTCTTTCTAGCTGCTTATAAAAAGCCTCCAGGTTGTTATTTGCAATAGAAATCCTGGACACCTGAAGATGCTGGGGGGTAAAAAGAGGAGCCAGCACCATGTAATGAGCCAGTTTTCTGTGGACTCCAAATTTTGGGAACTGGTGCATTGGAAGTCTGCACTTATTTCAGAGTTAAGTGGCAAGCAAGTGACGGAGCCATTTGTTCTTCAAATGGTTCAGTGTGTCTATGCTACCCATTTCAGAGTAGCAGCCGTGTTAGTCTGTATCCGCAAAAAGAAAAGGAGTACTTGTGGCACCTTAGAGACTAACCAATTTATTTGAGCATGAGCTTTCGTGAGCTACAGCTCACTTCATCGGATGCATACCGTG